AAGTGTAGACTGTGCTACACTTGAGGTGGATGAACCATATCCTGTTGTAGGTTCTGATGTTGATTTTGATGGAGAAGTAGCTGTAGTAGTTGTAGTAGAAGAACAGTCACGTTTTTCACAACAGTAGAATCGTATCTCGTAGTCAAAGCACATATTTCTTGGCCCGGGATTATCTTTATTCCTGCATATCAAGCCTGATTCAACACTGCATGTAGCATTTTGGCCTAAGTCTTTAAATGGAATTTCTGAGTAGGAGCTAGCTTTACAGGCAACATCCTGAACGTAAGATTTATCACTGCATGCTGAGTTTCCTTTTGCTTTCACTATCTCAATATCCTCTCGATCTCCTGAATCTGCCTTTGATGTTGGATGATTTTCATTATGCCACTCTGTCCAGTTGCAATAACTACAAGATGTTGTGGGTGAAACTGTAGATGTTGGTGAAAGGCTGGATGGATTAGTTCCGAAGCCAGTTGTTAAAGTGCTAGAAGGAGTGCTTGGTTTGGAGGATGATAGGGGGAATTTTGGAGTAGAGGAGAAAGGTTCTGTTGTTGCAGCAAAATAAATACTTGTTGGATTTGAAGTTGTAGAAAAAGAATTCTGAGAGCCTTTGCTTGTTGTTTCAGACAAGGTATGAACTGTAGACTGTGCTACACTTGAGGTGGATGAACCATATCCTGTTGTAGGTTCTGGTGTTGATTTTGAATGAGAAGTAGCTGTAGTAGTTGGTTTGGAGGATGATAGGGGGAATTTTGGAGTAGAGGAGGAAGTTTGTGTAATTGTTGATGCACTTTTAATTGGAGCTGTAGATAATGAGAAATTATGCTGTGGTTGTGTAATCACTGCAGTAGTACATAAATTAGTAAGGGTTACTGTGGTTCCATTGACATCACATGCAATTTGTTTGCAGATTCCGTCTGTATCATTAATGCTTGGAATGATTTCTGAGTAATTGTACATTTTTCCATCATGTTTACAGCGACAAGCTGGCAAAAAAGAAATAGTGATTTAGTACCCACTCCTGTTATCCCTTTTAGTATGTTTTTATAATAAGGTAGACATTCCACTTATTCTATTGCTTGATAAAAGACTGCAGTACTCATACTGAATACTTTGTAGTGCTATATCTGTTTGATAAGTGCAAAAACAAATTGTTGATTTGAGAATATTATTGGAATTTTTGTCAGTTTTATGCATTTTCCTAAAATTTTGATTTGAACTTAATCTGACTCTGTTAACAAAAATCTGCATTGGCAGCTAACAGCAGATATTTTTGGAAATTTCTAATATCTAAGGAAAAGTAAATCTATAATGTTAAACTGGTCACTTATTTTTTTATCTGCAAACTTTGCAACCTGGCTTGTCATATACAGCATGGTGTTGTCTTTATTCACAGGCAGCATTGTTCATATAGAGATAAATTATATGTTTGCTACAATAACCCAGTATTTAGTAACATCTCTACATCCCATGGCAGACAAGTGGATACAATGATGTGTTGCACGTTAAGATGTCTTTTTTTAATGTATGCGTACAATAATGTTTTTTATTCATTGGAAAGACCTACAAATAGTTTAAGGCCTTCCTGATTACAATCTGCTTATTAACATTCTCCAGGATAATGCCCCATGCTGAAGATACTGTACAATAATAAACTTTCTCCCCTTTGAGTGCCAGCAGCAGACAATTCCTGTGACGGCTGCATCTCAATCTTGCCTGTTACTGATCCCCATGAACAAATGAGTTCCTAATCATGTGACTACTATGCAGCTGAATCTGACAACTGGGTCTATGTTAGACATGTGGACTGGCAAAAATGTGTTTTGTTTCATTTTCATTCGGATTTTGTGTTATTAGTTTTTCGGGATTCGGGTCCGAAATTTAATTCGTTTGGGATTAGGATTCGGACTAAATTCATTAGCGGTAGTCTGAAATTTCGTTTGTTGGACAAAATATTGTTGCAGCAAAGTGACAGAAATGTTTTTTTCCTTTTTACAGAGTGCAGAACAGAAAAAAAAAGTGTGAGGTCCCCCCAATTCTTACCAGACCCTTTAGGTCTGGAATGTTAGGAGGGACCCCCCAAGTTAAAACAAAATAAAAAGTGCGTGATCCGAGCAGATGTCTGGCAGGGCAGGAAAGGGGGGTACCTCTTACTCATTTACAAGGGGGGCAGCATCTGGGTGCCCCCTAATTCAAGGGGTACCCTGATGCAAATAAGCCCCCTTGCCCCCAGACCCCCACAACAACTGGGGCAGGGTTGTGGGAAAGAGGCCCTTGTCCCCATCGGCATGTGGACACCCTCCCAATGCTGTGGGCACGTGGCCTAGCAAGGCGCGGGAGGGCGCTCGATTGCCTCCACCTTTCCTGCCCATCCAGGCCAGTGCTCGGATCAAGAGTCTGGTAGGAATGTTAGGGGGACCCCACGTTTTTTCCCCCATTTTTGGGGGCTGGGATTCCCCCTTAAGATCACTACCAGACCTAAAGGGTCTGGTACTGATTTTGGGGAGAACCCCACGCACTCTTCTTGTTTTAACTTGGTGGGGTCCCTCCTAACCAGAAATTTGAATTCGTTTGCATTCCTTATTTCTCTAATTCGGAATTCATATACAACCAAATCTCTGAATTTCCAACATTTCGTCTGAATTTCGATTCTGAATGAAACGAATCGCACATGTCTAGTCTATGTTGTTCACTGATAAACCAGAATGCAAACAGATAGCAAGATGGCAGCAGGGATCTTGTTCTTTACATGTGCTCACTATGTCACTTCATGTAGGCTGGAGAATTTATTTATGAAAATGAAAGCCTTCAACCTGCAAATGAACACTGCCACCTTCAGCCTATTTACTACCATCTATTTAATAATGCAAATGCCACGTGCAATTGCATTATTCATAATAACAAATCAATTTAAAAATAGATGTTTTTTTAATTTGTTCATATTTGTCAGACTATAATAAAAAAAGCTGTGTATTTTCATTAAAAGTGTACTACATAACAAATGTATCAAATAAAAGATATATATATATATATATATAAACAGTGCACATACCTGTGACATCATACTGGCAAGAAATACCTTTCATGGAACACTCACTAAAAAAACAAAAAAAGTTATATGTAATCCAAATAAAGACATGTTTTATGCCAACTGAAGTTAAGCAGACTGAGGAGTCCAATGCTGCAGTCCATTTTGACATTTTCACTTTGACATGGTACATCACACTCCAAATACTTTGCCTAAAGCTTGAGTGTTTTTAGCTATTTGAACTAGATGTCAAGGAGAACTTTGGAGGCAGATGCTATTGACTTTGCAAGGGAATTTTCACTTTACAATAGAATTTTCCTTAGCTTAGTGAATGATGTGAAACTCTGAATTCCATCATCCAATCATGTGCAAGCAAAAATACTTGCAAAGGGAGTTTTTACTGATATCACTAAGCTTAGGAAAATTTCACAGTGAAAATTCCCTTGCAAAGTCAACAGCCCCCTTGCCTTTAGTAAATCAATTCAAAAAGCACCAAATAAAAGGTAAAGAGAAAGAGTCAGGGCAAGGCAAAAAGGCAATTAGCACAGAAGGCAAGAGCATCATATGGGAAAGATAGCTCTGGCGGGTATAAGGGAAACATAGCTGTCACAATTTTGAGGTGCATGTAGCCCACAAAGAATTTCTGTAATTACAGATAGTGGGATTGCAAGTGGTCCTCTCACCACATAACAAAAGTTAGGTTACCAGTTTAGGCAACACCGATATAGCATATTAGATTTTGGCATTACAATGTGGTATTGCTGACATTAACCACCTTCTTTATTTTGTTTTGCTGAGAGTTTATCAAAGACTGCAGGCAGCAGTTGAATAGATGTTGGAGATTAAATATATATATGATTGTGTGTGTGTATTAGTGGACCCAAAAATATTCAGTTAATGGTCAAAATGTTTGTGAATAATCTGCTAACCTTGGACACATTGGATACTGAATTACAAAAACACATACCGTATTTACCGGCGTATAAGACGGGGTTTGAGACCCCAAAAAATCACCCGAAAATCAGGGGTCGTCTTATACGCCGGGTATTCTTCGGTATACTGTATGTAGCTTCGGCTACATACAGTATACCGCGCTGAGCCAATCACGGCAGGCTTTGTATTCTTTTTTTTTTTTAAATCAGATAATTTTTTTTTGAACATTTTCAGACAAAAAACAATCCACACACGTACAAAGTAAAATGTCAAAGCGTTGCAGAAACTTATTGATGTAAAGGATAATACACTTCAAAACGAGACACAAACCAAGTAAAACAAACCAAAAAAATGGTTGCTGAGCCCTAGCTATCTGAGCTAACAACTTGCCAGCCGCATCTCCCTCCGCCCAGAACACCCTCTTAGAGAAAAACAGTTTATGCTGGGACCGTACCGACAACAAAGCAGAGAGGGAACGCTGAGCCCCCTGCCAGGCGCCCCCCGTAGCAACACACGGGTTATCAGTATACTCCCTCTCGGAATCTGTCACCCTCTGACAGGCCTCCTGCATATCCCGTCTAGACCTAGATTTAGCAGAGCAAATGTTTTTAAGCAGGAGACCCCTAACATAGGCTTTCAGGGTATCCCAGACCACCCCCGCAGGCGCAGATGGAATGTTAACCGACAAAAAAATGAAACCTCAGACTCCAGTGAGGAGTGATCTGGGAACAGGGTCAGCCAGTGGGGGTGCAGGCGCCAAGGAAGCATCGAGCGGGGCCTACCCTACGAGACGGGACCCTGTGCGCCCTCTCGACAGCAAACAGCGAAGACAGGTAGTCCTTCCCAAATACCTCAGACAGCCAGTTTTCAATAAAATCAGTTGCATTTGCGCCTTCAGCGCGTTCAGGAATGCCGACAGCCCGTATATTGTTCTGACGCAGTCGATTCTCAATGTCATCAGCTTTCATGGAGTTTGCATTTTCAGCCGTCTTATACGCCGGCAAATACGGTAATTATATTTTTCAGTCTACAAGAGATCTTACCATGAATGACAGTTTTCTTTAGCTGGAACCTTTTCTCCATAGTTATAAAAGTTGCCATGTCCATCATCACAGCCACACTGAAACACACACTTCATAATATCTTCATTTAAATATGGCTTAGATGCAGGACAGTGGGGATAGCAGCCTATGGAGTATTTAGTAAGCAGTAAAAATAATTACCATACATTACATTTTATACATGAAAACAGTCTCAAAATTGTTGGTTATGTGTTTAGATAAACCACTGAGATATTAAGTTTTACTTGCTTAGAAGAACATTACATGTATGTATGCAGTATTGTGCAGAAAACATACAACTTCCTGTGAATCATAGATAAGCATGCACATAGAGACCAGCATTGCACTACAGAGCCATCTACAGCTCAAAAGACATATCTGTACATTAGAATATGCTGTTGCATTTTCAAAACAACTTCTCAACAGCATATGCTTTGCTATATGACATTCTTCTTCTGAAGGAAACTGTGATGATCTTTTGACAATAGCTTGGTAAGTGTATCCGCAGTCATTTCTTCTGATGAGCAATATTGAATGTCGATAATGGCTTGCTCTTAAATGTGTCCCTAAGCAGATGATACTTCACATTGATGTGCTTGGTTTTAGGGTTGACCCTTTCTGATTTCGCAAGCTTTATACATCCCTGGTTATCTTCAAAGATTGGAATGGGGTCTGACATGTCTACACCCATGTCCATTAAAAGCTGACAAGTTCATAATGCTTCTTGACATGTGTGTGTTGCTGCTATGTATTCAGCTTCAGTTGAGGAAAGTGTGACGGTTGCTTGCTTTTGACTAAACCAACGTATGGTTCCTTTTCTGTATTGGATGTAACCACTTGTGGATTTGTGGTCTGTGCAGTCTCTGGACCATTAGCATACGCATATCCATCTAGTTTTGGATTTGACATTGCTGGCAGTTATAGCTTTATCCAAATTGTTCTGTTTAAGTATTGTATTACCCTCTGTTAGGATCGTGGTGTGAGCCCGAAGTGACGAGGAGGACCTCCCTTGCAACCCCGTCTGATGACCACTGGGGTTGAGAACAGTAGGTTCAGGCAGGGGATGCACGAGTGCTGGATGCGGATCTTGAGGCCACAAGGTAGGATAATGCGTCGGCTTTCCCGTTGCATGACCCAGGGCAAAAGGTGATGTGGAGGTGGAACCGCGAGAAGAACAGGGCCCATCGAGCCTGCCTGGGCCTCAGACGTCTCGCCGACTGGAGGTACTCCAGGTTCTTATGGTCTGTATATATCAAAACCGGGTGGGCGGCTCCTTCCAGCAGGTATCGCCATTCCTCTAGAGTTGTTCCGCAGGTTCCGGAAATCCCCCGGATGATGCTGGTCGGTGGTTGGGTCCAAAAGCTGAAAAAGGTGCTGGACTCCGAGGCAGCATCCAGGTGGGTCGGGGCTGGCCAGCCCTTTCCATCCTTCATTCCCTGAGGCGTCGGTCAACCCGTGTGGCTAGGAGGATTAATTCGTCAAGGGCCTCGGGCACTCCAACTCGAACCAGCTCGTTTTTCAAGGGTTCTGACAGACCTAGACGAAACTGGTGACGGAGTGCGGCCTGATTCCATTCGGTGTCTGAGCCCCACCTCTTAAATTCGGCCACGTAGTCTTCCACAGGCCGGCGGCCCTGGCGGAGTGAGACTAGAATGGTCTCAGCAGAAGAGACCCGATGCGGGTCATCGTACAACAGGGCCATGGCGTCCATGAACCCCTTAGAGGAGTCAAGTAGGGGGTCCGCCAGCTCCAGGAGACGATGGGCCCAGGCCTGGGGTTCGTTCAGTAGGAGGGAGATAATGAACCCCACCCTGGTCTGTTCTGTGACAAAGGTGCGGGGTTGAAGTAAGAAGTAGAGCTGGCATGCATTCCGGAATGCACGGAACTTACTCCGTTTGCCAGTAAACCTCTCATGTGCCGGTAACCGGGGTTCCGGGGTTGGGCTCACCACGGCTGCAGCAGGTGGTAATGGAGCGGATACTGCCACCTCGACCGGTGGTGGATTTGGTGCTGCTGGGGCGACCCGGGACATGGACTCCAGCCGGCCCTCCAATTGAAAGTAGCCATCCTGGAGACCCTGAACGGTCTGGGTAAGGGAGGTAATCTGCTGACAAAGCTCCTCCATGGAGACCTCCTTTCGGGCCCACGAGTCTGGCTGGGTGATACTGTTAGGATCGTGGTGTGAGCCCGAAGTGACGAGGAGGACCTCCCTTGCAACCCCGTCTGATGACCACTGGGGTTGAGAACAGTAGGTTCAGGCAGGGGATGCACGAGTGCCGGATGCGGATCTTGAGGCCACAAGGTCTACTTGATGACCTAGCAGAATGGCCGTCGTGCTAGAAGGATACAGCAAAAGGGAGAGTGGGAGACAAGCCGGGTCAAATAACGTGCGGGCAGCAGAGTACCAGGGGTTAACCAGAGAAGGGTCAATGGACAAGCCGGGTCAATAACGTGCGGGCAGCAGAGTACCAGGGGTTAACCAGAGAAGGGTCAATGGACAAGCCAGGTCAATATTTAGGAAGGCACTGGAGACAGGAATCACAATGGGGAAGAGCAGGAGGCAAGGCAAGGCACAAGGGAACAGGCAAAAGCACCACAGAACCCTCCAGTGCTGGCTGAAGATCACCCAGCACTGAATGGGCGTCCTGCGGCGTCTTATATAGCCCGAGGACGTGCTACTGCGCATGCGCCGGCGTGATGACGTCACCGCACCGTGCCGGTGGACGCCCTCTATGTCTGCGTCCCTGCAGAGGGACTCGGCATCTTCCGCGGGCAGGTACCTGACACCCTCTTTACTGCATTTCAGTCACGCTGACAGGGTGCTGTGACTTTCCTAGAGAGTATGCCCGCTGATGCCGCTATGTCTGGTCTTGTTGCAGTGGCCATAAAAAGTAGCTTTCCGATTGATCTGTGGTACATTTCATTGTTGTATAGCACGTTTTCTGCTTCTTTGCTCTATTGGTAGCCTGGTTCCATAGATTTTTTTACTTCTTTTGCATCTTTCATGTGAAATTGTTCCACAATTCCTGCAATTTTCTGACTTTGGTTGAGAAGATAGCTTCTCTATATGGATTCCCAGATAGTGACTGATGTTTCCTAGCTCTTTAAGTTGAAAGATTTGTTTTAGTTTGCAAACTATTTGACTATAGTTCCCTTCTTGTTCAAAACAGGTTATAATGTCATCAACATAAATTAGGATGTATATCCATTTGTCCTCTTGATTCCTAGAATAAAGAATTCTTAGCAGTATATGACAGCTTGCAGGGTGGTATTCTCTTTGTCGCCCGAGTGGATCTTCTAATTTCAGGTTGTTCAGCAGAATTTAACATGGGACTTGACTTATCCACTGTGAGTTCCACCTCTTGTTTTGACTCCTGTGCAGCTTCACTTTGCTCAGCTTCCTTTGTTGGTTCACTGGGCAAATTCACTTCACATCTTCCCAGGATCATTGTTTTTGGTGATGGGTTCTCATAAAAATAAACGCTGAAACTTTTCTTGTCAGTCTTTGGGTGGAGGATTCTATATCCCTTACTTTGTTTAACCCCTTCGTGATGGGAGACGTACACTGTACGTCCCGCCACAAAGGGACCAAATGACTCGTCACGTACACTGTACGTGACAAGTTATTTGCTGCACTAGAAGGCTGGTAACCGCTGAGAATCAGCGGTTACCATTCATTAATGGATGCCTAACTATAGAGGCATCCATTAATGAAAGGGTTAACCTTTTTCAGACACCCGATACCTGAAGATAGGGTGTCTGAGAGTCAAAGCAGAGCGGGCACACATGCCGGCTTTTGCCGGCATTCTGACAGCTCGTATAGATCGAGAGATATCTCTCTCAAGCTATACTGGCTTTTTTTTTTCTTTCACTTTCAGGAATAGATACATAATGTATCTATTCCTGAAAGAAGAATGTTTCAGTTTTCTGATGGTTGTTGCAACCATCAGAAAACCTTTAGTGACAGCTGAATCCTGAACTGCTGCAGGATCAGTGTCACTAACTTATTATTGGCTGTTCTGAATAATAACCAAAAATTTATTCATTTATCAAGCAGTAATAGTTACATTAATACATATGTCACAATGACTGCTTGATATAATTAAATAAATAAAATAAAAATTTTAAGTTTAAAAAAAGTGAAAAGGGTAAAAAAAAAAAAAAATTGTGAAAAGTGTAAAAACAAAAACATAAGTGTAAAAAAATAAAGGACAAATAAATGAATGTATTTATTGCATTTTTTTAGCTGTGCTGGTTTTGTAAAAAAAATACTACAAATCAAAACTGGAAAAAAAGTGGGGTTTTTTAAAGTTTTTTTCCTCTTTTGTTACATTTTATTTGTCCTAAGTGAGGCGTTAGACACACATATGTGATATAAATATATAGCCCTATCTGTCCTCTAAAAAAACAATATATAATATGTGTGGGTGCACTTTGTAAGAAAGTATATTACTGACGTGGAAGAATCACACAGCAAAAATGTAAAAAGTGTGTCAGTCATTTACGCACAGAAACTAAAAACAAGCTCAGTCATGAAGGGGTTAATATAGCCCATCAGAATACCTTAATGGCTTTGTTCTTCAATTTGGATCACTTCTTGTTGGGAATATATGTGTAAGTTTTACATCCAAACACACTAATGCTAGGCTTCAATCTATTCCACATTTCAAATGGGGTGCTTTCAACTGCTTTTAATGGTAGTCTGTTCTGTAGGTATGTTGCAGTCATGACTGCATCTTCACAGCAATTCTTAGGTAGGTTGGCATCTGGCAGCATGCATCTGGCCATTTCTCCATTCTGCTACACCGATTTTTCCGTTCTACGACACCATTTTGTTCAGCAGTGTATAGCGTGGTGGTCTGGTGTACTATACCCTGTTTCTTCAGATATAATTCCACTTCCTTACTGATGTATTTCCCTCTGTTGTCAGTGCATAAAATTCCTGGTTTCCATTGGAATTTGTTGCTGGATATGGCTACAAATTCTTGAAGTTTTTCTGATATGTGTGCTTCATCAAATAAGTTGTTGTGTAAAATGGCAAAGTCATCAATAAGAGTCAGTAGATATCTGTTAACGCCTGATGTGGGAGTTTTCATTGGTCCGCACATGTCACTGTGTATGAGCCCAATGGGGTGGGTGGTCTTTCTTTGGGTGGCCCGTGGACGTGGGGTACATGTGGCCTTTGCTTCCATAAGGCATTTGCATGTCATGAGCATTCAACAGGGCAGTACAGTTGTATCTTCTGATAAGCTTCTCTTTATGATATCCTTTATGGCTTTTTGGGTTTCAGTGCCCTAGTTGTGTGTGCCATAGATGGATGCATTTGTTGTGTGGATTATGAGTGGCTGTCTTGACTTGCTCGTCTGCGGTGATGAGTCTGTACAGGTGTTCATCCAATTTTCTTTCGTGGGGATTTGCTTATTGTTTCAAATTGTACATTCATCACCTTTGAATTGAACTGTGAGACCATTATTAGCAAGGATTTTCACTGATAGAAGGCTTTCTTCTAGGTCTGGGATATAGAGTACATTTTTCACAAGGATAATTTGCTTGTGCCCTGACGATGTGATGCAGTTCAAGAATTCTTGATCGTTCTGCAGTAATACTTTTTCTGTTTGCTAGGAAAACTTTGTCATTTGCACTAAAATACATTGATGTAAAAAAGGTCTCATCACTAGCCATGTGGCTTGTTGCCTGAGTCAATACACCAACCACGTGGTATACTGTTCTGAGTCACTGAGCGCTGCATGATGTGCCTGCAGTTTCCTTTGTGGCTGCCTTAGCTCTTTGTCTTGTAGGTGCCTCTCACTTTCGCTGCTCAGCTATCCAGATTAAATAGTCCTTTTTCTGGTGGCCATTCTTTTTACAGTGAAAACACGTTCTGCATTCTTTGTTTTGCTTTGCACTCTCATGTACTTTAAGGTCTTTCTCATTTTTTTTAATTGTGCATATTTTCTTTTCTTCTTTCATATTCATCGATTCATTTTTCTTTGGTGTATTCTAGTGTTAGTTCCTGCTCAGGTCTGGTTTCTAAAGCATTAATAAGAGCACTATATGACTCTGGAAGGCTGAATAGCAGTATTGCCACCATGTGGTTATCTTTAATTTCCTTTCTAATTGCACGTAGCTGTTCTATCTTTTCCAGCATGACATTCACACGTTCACGCATTTACTGGCCCCATCTTATATAGCTTGTTATAGCTTATTACAGCCTCATCTTATATAGCTTGCTTAGCAGATATAGTTTACTGTTTAGGTTTGAATGCTCATGCAGCTTTTGTAGTGCAGTGCACATACCCTCAGCTGTATTCTCTAATCTTATGTGGATGAGTTGGTCATCTTCCACTAGAGAAATGACTGACTTGCAGTGTTCTGTTTAGTGCCTGGGCCCATACGTTTTACTTGCTTAGAAGAACATTACATGTATGTATACAGCATTGTGCAGAAAACATAGAACTTCCTGTCTATCATAGATAAGCATGCAGATACAGACAAGCATTGCACTACAGCGCCATCTACAGCTCAAACGACTTTCAGTATCAGGACATTAGAATATGCTGTTGCATTTCCAACAAAAATCACAGAACCACTGTCACTAAGTTGCAAACATTTAACTGTTTAGGAAAGCCATCTTACCTTAAGAGATACAAAGGTAATCCTAAAGTAGATCTTATGACTGCAAATGTGAAGTGACTGACATCAGCTTATTAGTTCTATGAGCTACTCCCTTAATTCTGCTTCATTTTGTATGCAGTAGTGGTACCCTTGATGAGGGGCTGTAGGAAATAAGACTTTCCATGTGTTGCTATCTATGGGGTTCAGCTTTACAGATATATGTTTTCTAAAGAATTTAAAAAAATGCCTACTCTTCATACAAATAAATAGATTTTGCTGTTTTACCTTCAAGACCTGACAGTTCATATAGACACTCTCCTTTGGGATTCCTGCAGGTCTTCATACACTTGTCACCACAAGGTTTGTAGTGCCATGCACATTCTCCAACATCATTGTAATAATCACAGAACATCGCTGGAATTGCAAATACAAATAAGGTTTATTATTTCAAACTGCATATAACTATTAATAAGCAAAAAGATGCTCAGTATGATTGTAATTCTTAATAAGTGCGATCAATAATAATAAGGACTAAGTCAGTTAAAGTGTTTATTAGACAACATAAAAAAAACCCAATGCAGTAATTATCTGCAGTAAACGCACATTTACCTGTGTATTATCCCTTTAAAGACCAAGTACATAAAAATACTAATAAAGATGCACTGTATTTCTTTATACCCATATTTATTCAAAGTACTAAAATGAAATGAATAGGTTGTGCCAAACAAATTGACAAACATTGTAAAACAGTATCCACATCCAGGTAATTACAAACAATATCAGTGTATCCGCCACTGATATAACACATATAATGACTCAATGTCCCACATTCATGTGAAAAAATCCATCCTATCTTATAAGTTTGGTTTATTCACAAATAGGCAACAACACATGATCCTATGCTCAAAATCCATGTATCACAAAAAACAAAACAAAAAGAAAAACACCACAGCTCTACTCCTGAGGAAGTTGAATGACAAAATGTGTCGAATGGTTAGAGTCCTTGTGACATCATCACGCAGACCATGAAAGAGGGTGATGCTTATTTGATTCAAGGAGTTTAAGAATTGTTGGGTATATTGGCACCAGATTTCATATGCTTATGGAGCACAGGAATATGCAAGTGGATTTATTTTTGTCTTTGGTTTTGAATAAAGTTTGTTGGTTACATTTACATTATGGGAGTCTTTACCTCTTAACCTGCTTGGAGGGTCCAAGGAAGGAAACAGAAGGGAAGTGGTCACAAGCCAGAGGAATTATCTAAATACTTTTTTTTAGTTTCAAAAGATTTTTATTTTTTCAAAATATAAAGCAATTGGTGCACGCACACAAAGTGTGCATGTGTGGATAATGGCACAGGCATTGACATTAGTGTATAACAAAGAATATGCTCATGAAACACGGCAATCGATAACGATCGCCTAATCTATGTTTAGAGAAGGTAAGAGCCCATTCTATCAGGGGTCCTGACAGAGATGTCAGAAGCAAACACATAATAGGAAGAAAGAGTAAAAAGTGAGAAAAAAGAGGAGGGGGGTACGAGATC